ATCATATTAATATGAAAATTACATAGACAATAAATGGAAGTCATCACCCAAATAATGTAAATAGGAAGAAAATCTGGAAATCTTCACTTCAAGCTTTCGAAATCGGATCCCAATGGTGAGTTCCTCCTCCCCCAATGTCAATTTTCTCTCCTTTTTTCTCTAAAAATCGGCTGCCCCCAAAAAGTCTCGAAAAATCCCCTTAAATATCCCTCCAAAAGTGCCCTAAAGGCTAAAACATTCCAAAACGAAATAAAAAAAATTACATTTCTATCTCCGTTTTACATTGAGGTGTGCACCTTGGCGTTTTGCCAAGCCTCAGTCGAGGCTTGGTTGGGGTGAGGCGCGCGCCTCTCCTGCAGGCGAGGGCACACCCTTTTGGGATCATTTGCAATTTGGCCCCTAACTTTTCATTAGCTCTCGTTTTGGCCCCTTTATTTTCAATTCATCTTGTCCTCGCTCTTCTCTTCATGTCCAAATGACTCTTTGCACTCTCGACTTTCGTTTTTCGCTCCGAGCTATCTTTTGAATATTTGCATTTTAGTCATCATCTCCTTTTTGTCTTGATTTACTCCCTTTCTTGCTTCATTTCCTCCTCTTTCGTTGCATTCGTCGATGTGAACCTAAATATAAAGTAAACCACATTTTTAGCTACAATTTCATCCAAATTATCGCAAATATCCACATTTTGACAACCTAAATATGTGAAAGAAATGCACTTATCAGTCTTCAATAATGCACCTAAATAATGGATTGGTCATGGTTTGGTGAGATCATTGGCCCTTTTTATCATCTCCAATATGGGTTTAAGCTGTGAAAGTGTTTTACATTTTCAGAGGTCATCACTCCTAAGGTTTATTTATCAACACAACCTAACACTAGTTGTCACTTACGCCATGATACTTACAAGCAAGCAACCTATACAATTTAGTTGTAGGCTCAATTTACATTAAATCACAATCTCCACTTTTCTACTCCAATCCATAGAAGCTGGAATTTGTTATTACAAGCAAAATTATTAGATGAGCTCTTTACATATTGTTTAATTTGAATCATACTGTTCCCTAATAAATTCTACTAAAGCTCACCAAATAGCTCTGTTCTAAAAAGCTCGCCTAGGCGCGAAGCTTGATGAAAACGCCTCGCTTTGAGGCTAAACGGTAATTAAGCGGTCAACGACAATGTTGACCGCTCGTTGACCTCTTAAAGCGCGCCTAGGCACGCCTAGGGGCCCTATGCTGCTAGTGCGCTTTCGTCTTGGAGGCCCAATTTTTTCCCCCTTTTTAAATATAACCCACAACAATTAAGATTATTATCAAGTGGTGAAGTTATACAACTTAAAATAGAAGTGTTTTACATTTATCAATGATTCAATAGTGAAAAC